GCCCAAACGAAAAAAAAAATCACCACAACACTTACACTGTTAACACAGACCCTCATGGCATTATCCATAATAAAGAAGAAAAGTGTGTTCGCCATTCTGAAGACGGGCTGATTCACTGCATGGTAGCAATTAGATTCTCCTAAAAGTAATTTTGTGGTTAAGAAATGCGATCTATGGCGACATGGGCTGTGGTCTTCAAGTAAAATAACAAAATTATCAGGTTCTTCAAATAGGGAATTTAGAAAACTGCCAAGTTTAAATATACATCTAGAATATCAAAACTAGTAACCTGTAGAGGGTCGTGAATCTAGATTACCATAGTTCTGCCCTTTGTTCCCTTTTTTCATTATCTGGGAAATATTTATTGTTGTACTTGTACTGCAGTAGTCTTGTACCTTCTATGTGTAATTAAAGCGAGATTCACTTTAGCTTCTTTGCATTTCATATATGTGTAGATTAATTTTTCTTCCGATTTAGTTATCAAATGAGTTTACATCCAATGGCATCTGTATCAATTACTAAATGAGGTTGGGTATGAGAAGTTATGTATAATGTTTCCTTTTGTGGTATTTTTTTGGGAGCTTTCATTTATGGTTGCATGTTGATGGTAACAATATTTCATTTCATTGTGGTAGGTGTGAGGCTTTCTCAACTTATCCTCGAACCTACGATCTAATCCATGTAGCAAGAATCAGCTCACTGATGCGAGATCCGGTATCTGGTAGGGCCAGGTATGTGTGTTCCATATTTCCTTTTTTGCTCCCGCTGCTTTGGTTCCTATTTCAAATAGAACATGTAAGCTTAACAGTGGCACTAACCATTAACCTGGTCCCACAATTTGAAACTGTAGTTATGAATCTTTCTTGTTGATCATAGTTTGAGCTTAATTTTTGCAATTGGCTATCGAGCTAATGTCATCACCTGCTTGGTTTATAAATGCCATCATACAGCCTCTTCTTTGTTCAATCCTATAAAACATGCAAATTCCCAGAATCAACAAGATTGCAGGTATATATTGGTTGCAATGTATATGGACATCAGATGTTGAGTGAACTTTTGTAACTGTCAGTCTCAGTCATTTCCTGCAAGTACATTTACATTTTATCCTGTTGCTCGGTGCTGTAGAATGCATTTCAATCCAACATGACTTTTCTTCTTTCCTTTTGTTCTATATTCTTATTCTTTAGCGATTTGTTATCCTTTCTATTCTAGATAAGTTCATTTAGCCTGCTTCCCGTTAGAGGTTTGTATTAACTCATACTCCGAGGAGAAAATCTTCATGACCATAATGATTGCCCCAAAATTTATTTCCTTTATCAGGAAAATAAATTATCTAGAGGACCCTTTACCGGAAGTCATATTGGGAGGGAAGAGCCTTACACTTGTCTCAGCACCAATCTTAAGTTGGGGATTGCATTGATTCTTGTATTTGTTTCTCTGATTCAATATTTTGTTAGCATTGACATCAATGGACATGTTAATTGTTGTAACTAGTTTCATCTATTGTTTGCACTAATTTTTAATTGCGAGGGGACGTGTCTTGTTCTCCAACGTCAATCATATAACAGACTCTTTTTTTTCATTTTAACTTCAAGGTGCAACCTTGTTGACCTAATGGTAGAAATGGACCGCATTCTACGTCCAGAAGGAACTGCCGTAATTCGTGATGCACCAGATATAATAGAAAAAGTGGTACGAGTTGCTCGTGCAATTCGATGGACAGTCAAAGTGCATGAATCCGAGCCTGAATCTCGCGGAGGTGAAAAAATCGTCATCGCTACCAAAAAATTTTGGAAGCTGCCTTCAAACTCTCAGTGATACCTTACATTCTTCCTTTTCTTTTTTCTTGGTTTTTCTCTTTACAACGTGGTATGAATAGGAGAACAGGATGGGGGCATGAAGATGCAACCACTGTAGATATTCTTTACCATTACCATAGAGTGAAATGGTAATAGAGGATCAATCTCAAATATCAATGTAATTTTCCCCCTTTTGGATTAGTAATTTGTATTTATTGTTGTATAATGAAGAGGGAACAGATGAAAGGTGTTACATATGTAAGCCCTATATTTTACATTCTGATGTTTAAAAGCAGAGGAGCTGGACTCTTGTTCATATGTATTTATTTACGTTGCCCCAATGTGTTTTTATTAAGAGCTTTGCTATAGGGACCCAAAATATGAGACCAATAGAGGGGACAAGTGAGATGTCCCCCTCCTATTGGATAATGAGTTGGTCATCATTAATAATGGCCAACTCATTATCCAATAGGAGGGGGACATCACTTGTCCCTTCTATTAGTCCCATATTTCGGGTCCTTGAGGAATTTTTCTCTTTTATTAATTATCTAGGTTATCTCTTAAAAAAGCATTGTTAGGGAAAAGTTAATATTATTGCTCCCATGGATTATTACAGTAAATACACAGAACAGGCATAGAAATTCTTCATGTGTTAATATCAAGTTGGGGCCCCGATTTTAATTCTAACTGCGTAGGGCTTCAAAAATTTAAGTGGGTGTTGTAAAATAGAGTTCGGGTGAAATTTCCACTCAACTCCATGCCTATGTTTTGCTCAACAAGGATATTTGGAGAGAATTATCTAACAGTACTATTTTAAAAATATCTATAATCTATACTTCTATACTAATCTGGAAAGAAGGTGAAAACTCCTATCAACTTAAGTGGATAGGAAATAGTTGTCCACCAAACTTTTTATTCATGGATCTTACCTAGGGATCCTTGCATGATATGAAGAGACTTTTATATTAATAAATGAGTGGCTAAAAAGTTTGGTGGAGAACTATTCCCTATCCACTTAAGTTGATAGGAGTCTTGCTCCCGGAAAGAACCCCTTAGAGGTAGGGACAAAATGGATGAGTGGTAGGTAAACCACGTTTCCAATTGTTTTAAAAAGGGTAAGATTGTAATTTTACAAGGAAAGATTCCCCCCACCACCTTTTTATTTTAGAGTGGTACTATAGGCACACCCTTCCACCACACCTTGGGGCACACCCCTCTCACAGCTACAGTGCACGGGACCCATTTTAGATTTTTAAAAAAATCTAAAGTGGGCCCCGTGTACTGTAGCTGTGAGAGGGGTGTGCCCCAAGGTGTGGTGGAAGGGTGTGCCTGTAGTGTTATTTTTTATTTTATTTCTTTTAGAACATTCTATGTAATTTTACAAGGAATGATTTGTTAATCTTTTCTATTCCCTTTCTTTCTAGAACATCGTATGCCATTTAAATATCATAATAAAGATGGTGCCGACATGGTTGAATATCTTTTTAATATTTTACGTTATAAAAGATACAAAGAGAATAAATATCCATAAATTAAAAGACAAGGTTCTAAACATATATTTACTACAATTTATTTACACTAATACATAAAATAATGAGGACAAGATAATTAGAGGAGGATTTCAATTTCAAATAAAGGGATAATCTCTTTGAAAGTGTCACTCACTATCTCCTCCTACTGTTAAATGTACATTCTAAATAAAATGATAATTATTGCATGTTCTTTTCGAATGCAAATAAGCGAAAATAATATGTTTTCATATCACGTGCATTTGCACTTGTCGATATCTAGTATTATACAATGAACATAGTGGGGGTAGTAAAAGTTAGATGATGGGTGGACATTTTCCTCCTTCCTCGTATAATTTGACGAATGGTAATTTTGCAAGAGAGATTTTTTTCCTTTCCTTTATTTTCATCCTTATGTCTCGAAGATTCTAAATCATGACATGGTAATAGAATTTGAACTCACATGAGTTAAAAATGGATTCAATTGATAAATACCAGTTAAAGATATATTTTCTATGCAAAGATCCATAATAAAATTGTATAAATTAAATCATCATCAAACTATTAAGTGAAATGTAAGACTAATCATATAAGCGAATATTATTACACATGCATCGCACGTGTCAATGTGTTAGTTAGTAGAAAAGAAAAACAAAATATGTAGAGAGGGAGAGGGGCAGAGAGAATTTAGGCCTAAAATAATAGTAATAAAAGCTAGAAATTAACATGGACATACCCGGTGGGACTCGAACCCACAATCGCCTGATTAGAAGTCAGACGCCTTATCCATTAGGCCACGGGTACAAGGGCATAGATGCATCCGCGTATAGCCCAATTTATTTGATAATTATAGCCCAATGTTACATCATCAAGAATAATTTTTTTTATTTTCCTTTTCCTTTTCCTTTTTTTTTGATGCATAATAATACAAATCCAGACGACATTGATTACTTGTCCTTCTTCCAACGAGTGAGCAAGACTTAAACAAAACATTTAAACACATTACATAATAGCTAACGAATTTAATTTATATCTATTTTATAGTTGGGTGCGGCTGTCAATTACCTGTAACTGGTCTGTAAATCAATAGCAACACCAGAAATATACTCTTCTGCAAGTTATGCGTTCCTGCAGCTGCATCATCAAGAAAGGGACACAGAAATCTTACAAGATGAAGTAAAAGGTGCAGAGATCACCTTTACGCCTCGTTTGGTACGCGGGAATGGACTCAAATGAGAATGGAATAGAAGAAGGAATGGAATGGAATTAATGTGAGAATGGAATAGTCATTCTCATTCTCACGTTTGGGTGTAATTTATAAAATAAAGTGGGAATAAACATATTTTAAAATTGTATATTTTATTGATTCTCATTTAAGTGGGAATGCCAATTCCTTATCATTTCATTGGGAATGCTCATTCCCACATAAAGTGGGAATTGATGAGAAGTAGAAATGAGCATTCCAACTTTAAAAAAGAGGGTGTGTTTGGTAGGAAGGAATGAGAAGTGAGAATGATCATTCCATTCCTCCCCATTCCCACATACCAAACGAGGCCTTACATTTTAGAATCCTAACTGAGTGAGATTTTGAGTTTCAGTATCAAAAATAAGAAATCAAACACAACAAAATACTTTAACCTACCATGGATCTACAATGCATATATGGTTCATGACAATTCTTAGCATTAAGAAAAACAAAGAAAGAAATTAAAAACATAAAGAATGCAAACCAAACAAGCAGCAGCAGCAGCTGAAACCAAACATACAGGGGGGCCAAAAAAAAAAGGCAAATAGATGCATATACTTTACTCGAGTCCAATATTCATTTACATAGCCCAACAAAGGGAAATAAAGTACAGAGATTGTGAAAGAACATAAACGTACAAAGAATGTTTGCTAATGATACAATGCGTAATCTGCGTGATCATTCAATCGCACCGAAACATCCAGCTACCCGCCCGGCTATTTACAAATGAATTACAAGTATAATAAATCACTAAAGCATAGAAACATTTCACAAGTTCTCGAAGGAAAAAAGCAGCAGGATTTTTCTCCTCCTCTTCGGTATGATAAAGAGAGAGCATAGTTGCTCTTCAGTTCCCGCAACTCCATCTTGATGTTGGTACACAACTGAGATAGTGACACCAGTGGCAGTGATCGTTACCACTCTCTCCTCGAAATAGCATTACCAAACCAACAATAAATCTGGAAGGGGGAAAAAAAAGTAAAAAGATGGGTGAATTCCCCTTATGATAGCCAATCAAACTTGTGTTCCCTGGATGACCAATTAACTGCAATATTACTGCATAAAACGAAAGCATTTAACGGATGGCTTCTTACCCTACTATCAGCAACAAAAGTGCAATCACGCATAGTACATACTGGTACGCCTTGTGCTTGGATTTAACCTGGCTGGCAGGAGGAAGGTTCCTGCGTTCGATCCAGCCAAACTGTGGTCGCATCAATAAAACAAAGCCTAGAAGGAACCCTGTCAGGAATCCTCCAAGATGTGCAAAATTATCAACATGCGGCAATATTCCAACAGCCAAGTTGATCACGATGATCACTAGAAGGGTGAAAAGGGCTGCAGCCTATTAAGCAAATTAACCGATCCAACGAAACAAATGAACCAACTATTTGGTGAAGTAACTGAAAAACTGAAGGAGGGACGGGGTAATGAGATTACCTTGTTTGTGTAGATAGTCCAGTTTGTAAAAAGTTCTGATAGCATTGCACCAAGAAGCCCAAATAATGCACCAGAAGCACCAACAGAGATACTGTTCCTAATAAATAGAGATGAAAGGACACTGCCACCGAGTCCAGAAATAAGGTAAACTGCGCCAATCCGAACTGCAAAATGCCCAGTGAAGAACGATAAGGCTAGTGGGAAATCAAAACTACAGCATAGTATATGCATATCACCAAATAACTTGAACTAATTTAGTAGCTAGGATTCAGTGCTCCTATTGAGGGATAAATAAAAACACTAGTCTAAACATGATCTATCTTCATTTTCATCAAATTAGTGACCAAGTGATTGAATTGTACTTTAATTCACAAAATACAACGATAAGCAATTTTTTTTATTAAGAATAGAACTTACTGAATCCAAATTGCTGCTCAAGGCGGACTCCAATGAAAACCAAGCTTAGCATATTTGCCAACAGATGTACGACTCCTGCATGCAACCAGACACATGTGACAAGCCTCCAGCCTTGATGATGATGGACCACTTTGTCCCATTTAAGCGCTCCCATCTTCTCCAAGCTGAAATATAGGCCAAAACAGTTTTCTTCTTTTAGTCCCAGCTGGTATATGAAAGGGATTTTTTTTTAAAAAGACCTTTTTTGCTAAATAATTAGCAAAATCGACAAGTTTGCTAATTATTTAGCAAAATCGACCTCTTTTTGGCCAACAGGCAAAAAAGAGGTCGATTTTAAAAAAAACAGCATGTTCGAAACATACGGGACTATTAGTCCCGTATGTTCTAATGTTCTAAAACCACAGACAAAACATACGGAACTACTAGTCCCGTATGTTTTGCTTCTGCTTTACAAATCCGTACTTTTTTTTTCTACTTTCCCAATCCTGCGTGATTCGCCAGGGTAACCTTACTTGCCCTTCATCCGCGGGGCCCACCCATGTGACTCCACTCCCCACCGACGCAAGCTGTCTTCAAATCATCACATGAATGTGATCGGCTCACTCTCCGTTAAGCTCACCCCCGCCAACAAGTGAGAAGACCTGCAGCTTCGACGGTGTGACCGACGCGACCGAAACCTACAAGATCCTTGTTGCAGACGAGCATGAGCATGACATCTGCGAGTCTGTCCTTATCAGCAGCCCAGACGGCTCTTGCCAAAACATTGTCCAGGGAAGGGAGAGGGCTCAGGTGTTCCTCACCCACAACAATGGCATGGCCTCCGACACTAGGTTCGCTAATGCTTTGGGTTTCAAGAGGAAAACTCCCTTTGCCTTCTGTGCTCAGCTCATGAAGCAGTATGAGGAGGTTGATGTCTAAATGAAATAGATTTGTTTCTCTTGAGAGATTTCTACCTTTGATATAATACTAGTTCTTGTTGTGTGAACTAATTGGAATTGTATTTGTTTGTTAAATTTGGTACTATTTTGGTCACTCGTTTGTGGCTGTAAAACAAATTATTATAATTGTTGTTAAATTATTGGGTTGGAATGTGTTGTTACTTTGGTATTTCTGATGAAATTTTGATGATATTGTGCATTGTGTATTAAGCGTCAGTGGGGAGTGGAGTCACATGGGTGGGCTCCGCGGATGAAGGGTAGGTAAGGTTACCGTGGCGGTTCACGCGGGATTGGGAAAGTAGGAAAAAAAACGTACAGATTTGTAAAGCAGAAACAAAACATACGGGACTAGTAGTCCTGTATGTTTCGAGCAGGCTGTTTTTTAAAATCGACATCTGTTGGCCAAAAAAATCGATTTTGCTAAATAATTAGCAAAATGGTCGATTTTGCTAATAATTTAGCAAAAAATGTCTTTTTAAAAAATATTCCCGTATATGAAACTTTCACTTGAAAATCATCAATGTACAAGAGAATCAGAAACATATTTGTACATAACTAACTAGAGCAAGTTCACATTGTCACATTGAACTATATCCATGATCGTACAAATAGAATGGTCTTAAAGAGAGATCATACCAACAAGCAGTTCTTTGTGAAAGTATTTCCATAATATCAATACCAATATGCATACAATTTGGCCAAACATTGTGCACACACGCTTGGTCTGATAGTAGATTGTTTTAGGCCCTTGGTATTCTTTTTAAGAGTCAAAACCAAAAAGACAAGTCTTCTGACAACTTATGAAAGAGCTTTCACAAAACAGAAAATCCCCTAGAACATAGTAGTAGCATAGAACAAAAATTTCCAATTTAAATTGAAAATTCAAGCAGAAGCAAATGCGGATTAACTAGGAGCCTATGAACTCCAGGAATTAGTATCACCAACTGCAATTTGGGTTAATTTTTGGTGAAACTAGTTATTGCATATCAAGCCATTACTAAGTCAGTGCTAATATATTCCCCGGGAGGCATATCTCCCAAGAAAGTGTTATCAGCAGCACAATAGTGAGGAGCCCAGGTTGGTGGCCACTCAAAACACAGCATCAGTGCTCAATGTGTTCCAAGCATGCCCAAAATCAAACTATGATGCAGTTCATGGATTGCTGATATCAGGAACAATGATTTCAAGGCGTCCAAGATGAAGCGTGGTTAGGGCACAAGCCAGTCGAAGCCGGCGTCAAATCTGCCTCTCATGTTCCATCAAACTTCAAAGCTGAATAGAGTTTGTGACAGTTTATTTTCATATAACATAAATGTACAGCTATCGCCCGTATTATTTCTAGCTGTTTTTTTATTCGAAACTTCATTATACATTTCAAAATTTTTGCAAGACCCCCAGACTCCCCTCTCTTAGTCCCGTATATAATCTCCTGCAAAGCTTATAAATTATTCTCATGTTTGATAATTCAGATATGCCCTCCAACCCTTCATTGGTCGAGTAGCTTCGGTAACGCCTACCAGCTATCACGCATCCTAATTCAGAATATAATGACTACAAAAAATCAGCTCGCCAGCCGATCTTAATTCACCAAAACAAATTTTCAAATACTCAATAAGAACAAAAAAAAAAAAAACTGAAGCGTGGTTAGGGCACAAGCCAGTCGAAGCCGGCGTCAAATCTGCCTCTCATGTTCCATCAAACTTCAAAGCTGAATAGAGTTTGTGACAGTTTATTTTCATATAACATAAATGTACAGCTATCGCCCGTATTATTTCTAGCTGTTTTTTTATTCGAAACTTCATTATACATTTCAAAATTTTTGCAAGACCCCCAGACTCCCCTCTCTTAGTCCCGTATATAATCTCCTGCAAAGCTTATAAATTATTCTCATGTTTGATAATTCAGATATGCCCTCCAACCCTTCATTGGTCGAGTAGCTTCGGTAACGCCTACCAGCTATCACGCATCCTAATTCAGAATATAATGACTACAAAAAATCAGCTCGCCAGCCGATCTTAATTCACCAAAACAAATTTTCAAATACTCAATAAGAACAAAAAAAAAAAAAACAGAGAACAACACCTAATATAAACTAGTAGTGGACTTGAGCCCAGAACAAATTGTCATCTGAAGAACAACTTCCATTGTATAATTTGGGCCTCACCGACGAAAAACACGTCGCCAAATTATCAGTTTGTAAACTTTCGAACTACATTGAAGCAAACTGGGGTTTTTTTTTCTACTATCGACTCCAGATCTACTCAAGCCTAGCACAAACAAACCAAAGATCCCAACTTTAAGCGAGAGAGAAATTTAAAAAAAAGATTAAAAAAAACTCACGTGGACGACGCAGGGCCAAAGAGGGGGTTCTCCCTCAGCGGCTGAAAGGAGAACCGATGGAGAAAAGGAGCAACACAAGAACCAAAGCGGTCGGTGCTATCGTGCGCCGGGCAATTGTTGATCCCCATGACAACGACGAACACGGCGACGTTGGCGACGACGATCATCGGCACGAGCCCGCCGCCGTCGCCGCCGGCGGACGCTTCCCGCGCTCGAGATCGAAGTTGGACATGATTTTTTAAAATTAGGGCTTGAGAAATCGACGAGAAAAGGTTTGTTTTATTTTTTTTATTTTTTATTTTTTATTTTTTATTTTTTAAGGGTTGATTGAAGAATGGAGGAGTTAAAATACAGAGAGTTTTGTTGGTGAGAGCGGTTGAGTTCGCAGACGGAGTGGTTTTATGAAATGACGGATTTGCCCTTGGCTTGATGTTTTGTTGAAGCTGGTAACTGCTTTTTGACTGGAGGTGTCGGCCGTAGGAACCGCGTTTTTGCAGTAGACCCCGGTAACTGTTGGAATTGCATAAATTTCCCAATGAGTTTTCGCATTTTGTAGATGACACCATGAGGGCATCAATCCGTATTTTGCGTTGACGGCACATTTAGATCCTAAATATGAACTGATGTTATCATGAAGGTCATCTGTCAAAATGCAAAAACTTATCCAAAGTTTTCTACAGTTCCATAGTTACTGGGGGTTTACTGTGATGTTAGAAGTGATACAGAGTTTATTGCAAACCCTCACGCGTCATTTGATCTCGAATCAAGTGAGAATGAAATAAAATAAGGAATACCATGTAATAAGTGTAGGAATACAATGATTATTTTTATTGTCATATTTGATTGTGATTAAGAATAAAACAGGAATGAGAAAATTGTTATTCCCACTCGTTGTTCGCGCATACTAAACAAGTGGTGAAAGTTCTTGAGAGTTTAGTGTAATTTACCCGTGGATCATGATACAATTTTCAAAACCTACTGAACTTTGACAGGATTGTATAAAACCCTTCTAAATTTGAGAATTTAAGAAAACTCTCCTAAAGTTTGGAAAGTTTCATAAAACCCCTTTAGTATATTAAAGTTCTATAAATTGACACTAACCCTTTAATTTAATAATAATAAAAAGAACCCTTTCTATCAGACAAATCGCAGAAATAATCTTTACTACATCTTTTAGAACTTTTAGCACAAGTTCGAATGGAATCTTGGGTAACTCCTCAAAATTTAGAAATGTTTTGATCTAAAAATTTAATGTTAAAAAAGGTTTTGTACAAATCAACTCTATATTCACGGGGTTTTTTGAAATTTACCTTGTAAGTAATTATGTGAGGATACAAAAGATTTGAGAAGCGTGTGGTCAAAAAGCATGGACTGGGTCCCACATTAAACATGGGCTTAGGAGGAATTTTATAAATTTCTAAAGTTTATTAGATTTTAGTTTAAATCAAGAATGCTTTATAGCGGAGAAGTTTTATGGGTGATAGGCTGGCATTGAAAGATGTCGTACTTTGCGAGGGAAGACAACTCAATTTAGTTATGGACTTTGCGTCCAAGCAAGCTAAAGACTTTTGTGTTGAATAAATTGAGGGAATTGTACATAAAACACTCTTCATCCAATTAATCTATATCTATACTTAGCAACAGCGGTGGGAATTGATCGAATGATTATCAAATATTTTGATTATTGTTTGATCGGTCATCCATTTAAATTCCTTCTAGAGATTTTTTTTAAAAAAAATGTTAGTACTTGGTTAATAAATAAATTAGATATAAGCAATTATATATTTGGTTTGTTTGTTTATGTCCGCTTGTTAATGTTCTAGTGATCACATAGTCAATTACGTCTGTGTTTGGACGAATTTGTTGAGGATTGATGAAGGGACCGCTTTCTTCACTGACTTCATGTCTAGTTCTTGAATTGGGGTATCTGAAAAATCTGCGCAAGTAGAAATTCGTAAGATTGTGGGATTCGATTCACCTGTTGTACATCTGACGATCAAGTTAGATGATGAACTTGAGTAGGGTAAGTAAGAACTAAGAGTTATTGTGCATGTGATTACTTAAGCATTAGATTTGGAAATCAAAATTCCAGCCTTTTGTAAGGTAGAATAGTACATGTATATATACTTAGGATGTAAGGGTAAATTTGTCACCTTGGCCGAGAGCAAAGAGGCGGTGGCGAAGTATGGGCTGACGGCCACTTCGACACTTACTTTACAGGTGTCGGCTAGCGAGTGGAAGGAATGTCGCTTCAGCATTAAATGGGAAGAGACTGGCGGCATGGCAGGGCCCACGTGGTCTGATGAGTCATGAAGACTATCTGGACTAGAGTCATGATGACACCTGCCATGCATTAAATGCGATATTGACACGTTGTCATAGAGGGAAAGGCTTGAGACGAAAACAGTCTTTTAGCTTCGCCGAGAAGTAACGTCTTTCGAGTCGACTTTGCAATGTGTCTGGCAAGTGGTCGAGTGGACTCGTGGCGACTTGTCTTCAATAGAAGGGGTCAATAGAAGGGGGCGACAAGCACCGCCTTTCGTGTCGACAAGCACCGCCTTTCGTGTCGACACTTAGGTGTGTCGTCTCGTCAGGTCGGCTGAGTTGTCGTCCTTAATTGTCTCTGGGCACCAAGTTGATTGAGACATAACGTGTAGAAGTACACTTGTCAGCTACTTAGTATTAAGTTGTATTTTGGCGAAAATGGGAACACCATAACACCGCTAATGTTTAAAAAGGTAATCTCAAGGTTACCATTGTAGATACAAAGACTCAGAATCACTGGTGTAATTACGTCGTACCTGAAGGTACCGGCTTGTAACAAGAGAGATTGCATGTAAAGAAAAAGAAAAAAGAGAAGAGTTTTCTAAAAAAAATGGACTCTCAAATATTCAATAATTGTATAGTAGTTCCTCAAATCCTTGAAACTGCTTATTAATCCCTCAAATCCTAGGGGTCTTGCAAATTTGTCCTTCTATTTGACTCATGTTCCCCTCAAATATAATAGTTTTAAACCCAGTTTCGGTTAGAAAAAACCAAACCCATTGAGATCATCTTCTCCAACGATTGGAAAAATCACCCTAACTAATATCTCAGCCTCCCAAAGGTCATATCCCCTTATGTCTATATAATCCTCTAATTGCGCTATAGTTTGATAATTAGGAGTGTTAAGTTCTGATTTAATCACACCGTGGTTTGAAATTTTAATCGCAAACTAACAGAGAGACCAATTTGTAAGATGGCATAGGATTTGAGAGACTAATAAATAATTTCAAAGATTTTAGGGACTAATATTGAATTAATTACCGAGGATTGGAGGAAAAATATCAATAGATGTCAAAAGTCAGGAGGAGAAAGAAAATGGGTCAATAGGTAGGTGAACCGGTTTTGAGAGGAAATAATAGAAAAAGAGAAACAAATTTAATAACAAAAAGATTAAAATCACTTTAATATTATTCAGATATATTTTATACAAACTTTTGAAGAAAAAAACTATTCAAATGCTAATCTTGTTTTAAGTTGTCGGCAGAACAACCAAGACAGATGGAGTTGGCGGGCGGTACAACCGAAGAAAACGCGTGAAATTGATATCATTATCAGTATTGTTATTTATTATGTATTATAATTATGTATTATAAATAGCCTACAGCTTCGGTGTTCTATAGAGATTAGTTGAAACAATGATGACATATCCGTAAATAAATTCCTTAAAAATAGCTCTCACAATTCTAGGTAGATAGATTTAATGGTTATGAAGTGTTCCACATCCAAAATTGTAATTAACTATGGGTAAAAAGGTTATTTTAGGAAATATAATTTATGGGAGAAACATAATTTATCATTAATTAGAATTCTTTAATTAACTATTAAAACCGAAGCTTTTCTCCGCTCTTTCCATTAGAAGAAACCGGTCAGACTCCAAAAAATCTCGTGAAGAGAAAGAGAACGCCATGAAAGGTACCTCTTATTTTTTTACTTTTTTAAAAAATTTAATTATATAGTATGATGTAGTTGTTAAGCCCTTAAATTTCTCGTTCTTCAAATCAGTTATCATTCGTTTTTCTATATAAAGATAGATTTTCTTTTGGAAATAGACTGCCTCGCGTGAGGAGAGTTCAATTGGTTTCTAATTAACCCCATTCGCGAGATTGAGAAGTAGATTTGATTGAATGGAAAAAAATTACAAACCGTGCAGAACATGTATTTTCTATCAGTATGCAAAAATAAGAGAAACTACAAGTAAGGAAATTCAACTGGTTCTTTTCTTTTTTTTTTCCCTTTTATTTCTTTTGTGCTGGTGGAACTGAGACTTGAGATTAAGAAAGAGATTTTTAAAAGTCTAAAATACCCTTTCTTATTTTAGCTAATTTGTTATTTTTGTCAATTTAAAAATAAATAAAAACCTATTTTTGGAGCACCGAAGCAAACCTCTTATAAATAATCAACTGTTGTCTTAATTTATACTATTATATTATATTATACTACAATAAAAAGAGTATTGAGATGTTAAAACTTTTTATTTCTTTTTTTACCCTCTCAAATTTTGATAAATTCTAACTATGTCACTATCTCTAATTAATTTTCCATTAATAAATATAACCTCTTATTAATTATGCACTTCCTCACTTTTCTAAATAACTATAATTAACAATAATAGTATAGCTATTAATTGTTTAAATAAAATAATTTATAACATAAGTATACACAATTATTAGTGGTAACCAATTAAATTATTATAAAAATTATTTATGAATTATAATAAAATAATTAAAATAATAGTTGTTGATGTTACGTGATCACACAGTTAATTATATACGTGGTTGGATGGAGTGAAGTTGATAAGGAGTCGCTTCCTTCCCCGAATATCCGGTTCTGAGCTGAGTGGCTGAAAAGTCTGCACATATAGAAACTCGTGAGAGGACGAAGACTGGTTCCCCCGTGGTTCCTCCGACGATCAAGTCAGCTGGTGAGCTTGAGTGGGGAAAGTGAAGAACCGTGAGAGTTCTTGTGTGTGTAGCATAATTTTTCGATCTATCTCAAAAGATCAGATTTTGTGAATCTCTATTATGTTAGAATAGTACATTTATTTATAGTGATGGTATAAAGGTAGAACCGTAATTATGGCCGAGCACAGGATGGCGGTGAAGAAGCATGAGCTGGCGGCTGCGTCAGTACTTGCTTTATAGGTGTTGGCTGGCGACTGGATGAGAGATCACCTCAGTATTAAATGAGAAACGATCGGAAGCATGACGGTGCCTACATAGTCCAATGAGCCATGAAGACTATGAAAGTACCCTAG